ACATTATAACGCCCCCACGGCTGAAAGGGCGAGCATGTTTGGTGGGACGGGGATCCTCAGATTACGAGTCGAGCGCCCTAACCACCTGGCCATGAGAAAACATCGAATATTATTTTTTTCGAAAGTTCTATCATTTGGGTCTTAATCGCTTAACAATTTCAGTGTATGAATATTTCTTTACGTAAAGGTTTTTTTTAATAAAATTCTTCAGTCATACGCGAAGCCGTAACTGTAACTGCATTGCGTTTTCGAATGGTCGGGAACTCGCTGTGAACCAATTATTTAGATACTAATATTGTCGCCCGTGGCACACCACTGTATTAGCGTATACACATCGTTCAAATAAAATGCGTCAATTCTTTGTACACAAATTATCAACTGAAGGAACCGTATTGCAACAGTTGTTAACGACTTCTCAATATAAGTACAATTACTGAATACGTATGTACTATAATATACCCATACAGACATGCTAGTAATTATACCTATATAAACGTTCAGAATAATATAATATATACTTATAAAATATATGCAAAGCTTAAAATATAGTATAATTGTTTGTTTTTGTTTTTAACGCAAAGCTACAAAATGTTACCTCTGCCCTATCCACCACCTGTGTCGAAAGCCGAATTTTAGCGGTGAGAGCCCTCAGACTTACACCTGAACCACTGGGGGGTCAAACCATATGATATTTTTCATTATGATCTGTTTGTAAACCGCAATGTCTTCACCACATTTTTAATTGAAATTCTACACTAATTTTTTGCTTTGTATTATTGTTTATAGAGTACAGCATGGCATTTGTCTTTAGACCAAAGTGTTTTTATTTTTTTCATTGAATTTAATAAAGTGCATAATACAGCTGTTTATTTCTTTAATTCACATACGGTAAATCAACTTAGTCCTTCTTACTCGATTACCTGTTATCTGTTTTTTAGGTTATTTTCCAGAATCTTTCTCTCACCTAGCAACATGCGCTGTATCTTAAGGAGTATGCCATATTTTTGTTTACTTTGGATCACCTGTTTTAATGACACAGAGTCTTTAATCCTGTGTTTTTGACGATAGGATCGATATGCCCGTATACCAAATGATTTCCATGTGTATTTTAAAAATCATGTACTTTGACCATAACTGCTATGGCTCTACATCTAGTTTCTCATTCTTCTAAATCACATATTTTATAGCATAATTTGTTTATCCAACAATCAAATTGTATTTATTTTGGTATTTTTATTGTAAATATCTCTACGCTATAAGCTGTTTAATTGGTATTTCTGTCTTTAGAGAACACTTTCTGTATCATAGTTTATATGTTTCTATAAATATAATTTTAACTTTAAGTCGCTTTCTACAGACAACCGATCTCCTCTTCAATTATATTTCAGATTACATGATTTTTACCTGAATCCTCTATTCTTCAGACCACACTAACTATACCTTGAGTTTCTTGACTTTGTTGTATTTTCAGATACACCAATTTTCCTGTTGGAGCTACAGAAAAGCAAGAGGTTTCGATATGATTGTATTGCGGAGTGAATCTGAATTCCCTGACCTTGACTGAGTTTGAAGCAATGAAAATGACTGGATAATGTATAACAAAGTGAAAAAGTTTTCATATAACACCCCAAAACAATCAAATGTGAACATATGTGTGTTTTGTGTTGCATTTACTGAAAAGCTTTTATTAATGAGTTGAATCTTGCCAGGTTTTATATATATGGATGGGCAGGTTTCTTTACAGTAGGCATCTGTGACTTGTTGGCAATAAATTTCAACAATAAACAAACAGTACACAATCCACTTGTTTTAAAATAATATATTAAAAACCAAGTCAAACTTATGTACACCCAGTGCCACAGCGATATGTCTTCGGACTTACAACACCAGAAACCGGGTTTATATACCCGTGGTAGATAGTGCACAAATAACCCATTGTGTAGCTTTGTGCTTAACTACAAACAAACAAACTTATGAACAAATATTTTTTTACACTATAAGTTACAACAGTTGAATTTAGAGCTTTAGATAATTAAATTTTTTGTCAAAAGTTCACACAGGCTAGATCAATTACTTTAGAATCCAGTTGACAGGATGAATCATTTCTTCTCTCCTCTGTTATCACAATACAATCAGTGTTAAATTCACTTACGTTACCCCGTGAGTTACTACAGTTGTATCTAGAGCTTTAAATAATTCCGTTTTACGTCGAAAAGTCTATACAAGTTGGTTACTTTAGAAATCAACTGACAAGATGAATTATTTATATCTATCTCTGTTGTTACAATACAAACTGTGAGATTTTCACTTTAGAAATCACTAGTTACAGCTAAACTGACAAACCAAGCAGTCTAGCTTCACTTTTTCACTTTTACTCTCAGTTACTTACTTAACTTGCTCTCTGTATCTGCACGTATTTATAACACGTGACAGAAAAATCTAGAAATATCTAGCCCTCTAGTAACAACAACATTAAACATAACGAGAAAAACTTAGAAGCTTAGAGTCAGATGACGTGAAAAATATTACAAAAGTTTATTACAACAATTAAACTACATACACAATATACAACTCGTACAGAGTTACGTAAGGAAACTTGTCATAATATCGTTTTTAAAATGATTAATATCTAGCACTCTTATTATGAAAACTAAATAATCATTAAATATTAAATTACTAAATAAACTGAATAATAATTCTTAAGCTTAACAGTCTTGTATATCCAACAAATCTAATGAATTTAGTCTAAATCTGTCCTAGACTGAGAAAATATACCCATCATATACAAGTCATGCTCTGCTCACATGACCTTGTTCATTTCCATGGCAAAATGAAAATGATTGCATCCTCAAGGCATCACATGATCTGTCTATTTCTACATAGTATGCTCCACTTTACAGGAATATTTTACATAAGAAAATTCACGTGAGATCCAGTTTAGTAGGTAACTAAAGCAAAAGGAACTAAGCAACTCCCTTGACTGACCTTTGATATTTAGACTACATTAACAGTATGTGCAGAAATTTTACATTAAATAAAGGGTTAGGAAACACGTAATATGCCTGCATAAGAAATTTCTACATCACAGAGTTTTCACTAGACTCCCTGTATGTAAACATTACTAGGTTTCTTACCTAAATTTATGTGCTTCTAGACTACATGATCTTAATCTTGAATAGCATGAGTCTGAAACACATGTTATTTTTTGTCAACTTGTTGTTAGGCCTTGTGGTATTTACCTTAGCTTTCCTGTCCTTAGGCTATGTGACCTTCATCTTCACTCTTCTGTTTATAGGCCTTGTGGTCTTTACCTGATTATTTCTATTCCTAGATCAAACTGCTTCCTCTATCTTTAAAACTATGATTTTAAGTTAGTTCTTACTTTTTGAAGAACATCTTTGGTGTTTATATTTCTAAACAGTAGCGTATTTTTCTTTAGGTATCTGTTTGTAGACCAAAATGTTTTTGCCTTGTTTTTCTTTCTGTCTTCTTACCAAATGGTTTCACTAAATTTTTGTTTGTTTGTTTTACACCACCTTCTATTTTTACTGACTGCATCACAAGACCATATACTATTTACCTTTCTGACTAGCTGGCCCACTATTCCTTTCCAAGTTCCATTAGAATCCTGGAAGCCATAGGTTTCACCTAAAGGCTCACGCACAACGTAACTATGAGAGAGAAAAAAAGCTTTTATAAGCATACAGTACAATTTTATTTTATGTCATTAATAAGTAGAAGAAAGTCAAATATAGTTTCCACCATTCGCGATGAGCCTCAGTACTGTCAAACGAAATTGAGTACATTATATCAAAATTATTTTGAATATGCAAATAAGCAAGTCCCCTAAGATGAACAGCCGATATAAAGTCGAGTTGGAATGACGTGTATCAGAAATACATTTTGACATTATTTGGCATTTCTTAGATAGTGTGATGTAACTGAAAATTGATCACTTTTGGGAAGGGCATGTAACAGTGCCATCTAATGCAAAATATTCGTACACTCGTATCATAAAAAAATGTGTTCAGCTCATGGATTTAGAATATCCACGATGTGTTTATCCATTACAATTAATGGCAGTGGAAAACAAGGAAATATAGATAAACTTGAGACACCATTATTATCTAGAGAGAGATCAGAAATGAGTCATACCACAGGTGTGGTAAGCACAATGTCGCTTTTTGTAACATGTGGGAATCCACGAACACAAAAATCAGCGGAAAAAGACATTAAAGATCCCCAGGCAACATTACACAATATAATCAAGAAGGGTATCCCTCTTGAAGGGAGACCAAATAAGGCTTCAGATCATACCTCCTTTTCAACAATTATTTCTTGCTAAAACTCCATATACGATCAAAAGGCGTAAAGATTAAGTTTGATATTTCAACTCAGGGAAAAATTGAAGGCAACTTAATGATGGTTGAAAGTAGAATACTAATAACTTTGCCCACCCCCAGTGGCATAACGGTATGTTTGCGGACTTACAACACAAAAAAACGAGTTTCGATACCCGTGATGGGCAGAAAACAGATAACCCATCGTGTGGCTTTGTGCTTAACTACAAACAAAGAAACTAATAACTTTATCCTTATAGTACAATAAAAGAAACTAAGTAAGTGTTGTAACTCCGAAAACATTACACTATTATTATATTTATACATACACTGTAGTAATCGTATTATATAACCAGAATTCACACAAATACCTTATGGCAGGTTCATTTATTTCCGATTCCAACGACTCATCTATAAGCCTGAGGACTTGTAGCGCTAAAAATCTGTTTTCAATACCCGCGGTGAGCAGAGCACAGAAAGCCAACTACGTAGCTGTGTGCTTAACAAGAAACCATTTCTTTCTAAACCACAAAATTTTTCTTAAGATAAAGATAGGTTTTCGATTATGCTGACTTAAACATATTAATTTTAAAAAAGTTTATAAATATTGACAGAAATGCATTATTTCAACTTACGTGAAATCATAGTATTTTGCTAGAGTATCTAGAATCTGAAAGATGAATCTTTTTGGAGCATCTTCAAGACCTCTCTGAAAGGTAAAACAAATATACATACATCAGTAAAGCTACTGTTTAGGATTGCATACACTTGGAAAATACAATGTTAGTAAATGGAATTCAAGATTCAAAATATGTTGCAAACATTTTACCATGTCGAGAAAATATGAAGTTTTCTTTGTTTTGTTGATTTAATCTATCTTGTGTAGTTTAGAGTCAGGTTAGCACCAGAGTGAAGTAACTTTGTTTGTTGTGTTGATTTTCTCTATCATGTTTAGTTTAGATTCAGGTTAGCACCAGAGTGAAGTAACTTTGTTTGTTGTGTTGATTTTCTCTATCATGTTTAGTTTAGATTCAGGTTAGCACCAGAGTGAAGTAACTTTGTTTCTTATGTTGAATTTCACACAAAGGTACTCGGTGTTTATCTGCGTTAGCCGTCCCTAATTTAAAAGGGATATAGCTATTAAATACCACCTCCCGCCAACTCTTGGGTTACTCTTTACCAACAAAAGTGGGGTTGGCCGTCACATTATAACGCCTTCAAGGCTTAAAGGGCAAGGAGGTTCGGTGACGGGATTCGGACCCATGCACAGATTGCGAGTCGAGCGCTTTAAACAAGTGACGTAGCACCTTGAGCTAAATAAGTCACACAGAGTACGCAATTTCAAATAGTTGTTGTTTGTTATTAAGCACAAAGCTACACAAAGGGCTATCTGTGCTGTGCCCACCACGAGTATCGAAACCCAGCTTCTAGTAGTATAAGTCCGCAGACATACCACTGTGCCACTGGGGGGGAGGGGCATTTCAACTAGACGCTTACTGTAACTAACTGCACATTATTTCAGTAACCCCTTTGCACTTTGAATAAATATTCGATAGTGTTTCAATTTAGATAATTCGTTTCCTTAACACAATAATATTTAACATTCTGAATACCTTATATGAAATAGAAGAACATTTTGAATACCTTATATGAAATAGAAGAACATTTTGAATACCTTATATGAAATAGAAGAACATTCTGAATATCTTACATGACACAGAAGTACATTCTGAATACGCTTAAATAAAATCCATGATTTCTGACAAAACTTATAAAAGAACAAGAAACGTGTCTTCGTATATGCACTAACAAGCAACTTTTATACTTTATATATTACCCCATATCTCAATTAAATCGGATAAAAAATTCGTCTACATTTGGTAAAGGTCTCCTCGTCTTGTTCAAGTGTAAGTGTGACCATGCAATCCGTATCACATCTCAAGTCAGAAGCAGTTTATTGTTTACAATCCTAGTGGTTAATGCGCTCGAATTAGAATCTGTGGATCGTGGGTTCGACTCCCTCATCGAACATGCTCGCCCCTTTTAACCGTGTGGGAGTTATAATGTGATAATCAATCCCACTGTTCGTTCGTATTGAGTAATCCAGGAGTTGGTGGTGGGTGGTGTTAACTAGCTGTCTTCCCTATAGTCTATAACAGTTAAATTAGGGACAGATGACGCAGACAGAACCCTTGAGTTGTGTGGCGCGACATACTACAAAACAAGCAATCCATCAAACTGGCTATAATACAACTGGTTATAAAGCATTTAAATTGTTTTTATTTAACACTAACGTTAATAAATACCAAGAAATATAACAATATGTTGTTGATCTATTATTCCTAAAAAAATTGGAATGAATTATATTGTATGTTTCTA